TGTAAACCGCTTAGAGACGGCTGAAAGCCCTATGAAGTGGTATATAAGTCTAACTGCTATTGCTATTGCTATTTATACTGCAAAGGTGAATCCTCCAAATTAAAGGTCCTACATTCCTAGAAAAAATGTATTTTATTGAGGATTTAATTCTGAGTGAAAGAGTCTTATCTTCCGAGAGTTCAACGTTCCTGCTGAGGCTGCCCATTAGTTCAGATGTTTATGGCTGCCATGATAGCTATCGGCTTGTTCCAATCGGTATGTGCTGCTATTCAAGCAGCAGGGCAAATACTGGACTGTTTGGTGAGCTGCTGGCGATCTTAAGTTTTCCGCAATCACGTTGTCATTAACAAATCACTCCCTGGTAATTTTTACATTAGCAGTTGCTATGATATTTCCAGGAGTTGAAGACTAGTTAAAATGACCCAGTCAGGGTACTGACGGGATGGCTGAAAGCACTTGGGGAATTTCCCACCTCATATGTCAGGAAACTATTGAGATCCATGGCTGACCTGTGGAATGCAGACGGAGCACATTCTTCCCTCTGGCACAAGTCACCTGGTTTGCCAAGGAACTGAGACCAATAAAACATCCAGATAAACGATTAGAGCACAAATGCAGGAACTTCCATGACAAATCAGAGCCACAATGGAATAGGACCCACTTTCAGGCTCATGCAAAATCCTTCACTATGATGGTGAAGCAAGGAGGGGTTACTCCATTTTATCTGTATGTCGGGTGAATTACGCTTATTTATTCTGTACATCATCTCCATTCGTAAATTGAACTAGAACAATTGGTGCAATGTGAGAAACATTCACTGTTGTTGTTTTTCTTGCAGATAACCTGCATCAGTTTTGCTTTCTTTGAAGTTCCAGAGCTTAGGTAACCTCACCAATCGCTTGTCAGACCCATGTGGCTGTTGCTCACCTTTAGATTTTGAGGATTTTGACAGGGTGCATTGTTCAATGCTTGCCTTTCCTATCTTAAACTGGACAGGTTAGAACTGATTCCTGGATAGCTACAAGAGCTGTTGTGCCACAGGTCAAAATGGCTAGCAAAAGTATTTATTTATTTATTTATTTGTTTATTTGTTTGTTTGTTTGTCTTGTATGCCACCCACTCCCGGAGGACTCCGGGCGGCTCACAAGTAGGGAATTGATGTCCTGCTCTTATGTGTATGAGATGCATATTTAAAGTCTGGGGCCTGGGTTACTTGACAGATCTTGATTTCTCTGCATTGTTTAGAATAAAGGAAAGCGGTTAACCATTCCTTGAAAGAGAGATGTATCTTTGTATTTTAAAACCTTTACTGACAAAACTTTCTCTTTACCCAGACATTTTTTTCTAACTGTAGGCCAATCTCAAATATTCCATTCTTCAACAAGGTGATGAGAAAATTGTAACATTATAGCCTGTGGCGCATTAGAGTAAAAAAGTTTTTGGTGGAACCATCCCAATCCTGGTTTTGTTGGGGATAGGATTTTCTTGATGGCTTGGTAAATGATCTACACTGGAAACTAGGTAAGAGGGGTATCGCCCTGGCAGTTCTTTTAGCTCTCTCATGAATGACCTTTCAAATTTATTTATTTGTTAAATTTGTTTGCCACTTATCATGCCGGGGGCTATTCTAACCATAAACCATAGTGTGTAGACTGTCCGGCAAGCCTAATCTTGGTGCAGCTAATGTCTGCCTTTATATTCCGTCCTTTAATATATTTTTTTCATATGGTTTTGAAAACAAATATGTATGTATTCCCTTTGAATGAGTTAAGCTTTGAAAATACGTGCATTCATAGATTCACATAATCTGAATGTTTGTGGAATGTGCACCAATTTCCATAAATAACATTGAAATAACTAAAGATCAGAATACTCTTCCCCAAATATTAATGAATGTAGTTATACATATCTGTAGAAATATAAGGAAAAGGAGCTTATGTAAAGGGCCAAGCATTTGATCCTTCAGTTGCAATGTGAAGCTATACAGAGCAGCAGACAAATCGCCTGGGTCTGATTATAAATCTCAGCTACATTCACAATCTTTTTATTTGAGTAGGTCACAGTAAGAATTCCTGACAAGCAACAGAGTTTATGTTTATGCAAATGACTGTAAAGGTCCATTCCATATATTCAGTTTTCATTCAGTACTTTAAATATACAAAAAATAAAAATAAAAAATCTCGCAACTGACCATTCAAAAGCAACTGTTTATTTTGTGTTCCCTCTCACATCTTTAAAGGGCTTCCACCACATAAATGACCACTGAATACATTTTCGGCTATAAAATATTCAACTTAATAATAAAATACTTGAAACCAGGGAGAAATCGCCCGCAATGCATATAGTTAAGCTTTTGTTTCAAAAATATTTACTGCAAAAAACCAACCAAGGATGAAACACCCTGATAAAAATAAGATCATCACATTTTTGGTTTCTTAAGGCCATAAAATAAATTTTGCTACTGAAGGGCTAAAGTAAATAGTTTAGAGAAGATCATAATCTTTTGTGAAAAACATTAATACAGAGAAGTTTGAATATTCCAGAATATGAACAAAAATTAAAAAGCCAATGAGGTTTTTCTTTCTAACTTTATATTAAAACAGACCAATTTTTGGTCTGTGGATGCAGATCATTCCATTGCTTCCTATTATAATTGTAACCTCATAGACAAGGCAACAATCCCATTATTATGCTAATAAACACAACAGTAAGAAAACATACTGTCTTCATTTAAAATTAATTTTGTTCTTTATCTATGCTAGATATAAAATTATTTTCCAGAATAAACTGTAAAATAGCCAAGGGTGTTTGGGTTGCAATGCTATCGTGCTTGCAAAAAAAAATTAGTTGAATCCTGAATAATCTATAATCCACTGAGATTAGTAGAAAAGTGTTAAAGTATCAAAGGTTTAACAATAATCTTTTTTAATGGGAAGGCATTTCTAAAGCATCAATCATAATTAAAGGACCTTATAAAAACACAGGTGAGCCACATACTGGAAATAGTGAAAGTTGCTAAAGTTGGAATTTACGTTTATTCCAACGGACAGTAAAAATACAATTAAGTCAATAATATTATTGGATATAGTATTTTATTTTATAAGGAACAATAGTAGCAGCAAATATACAGCATTTATATCAAAATTTAGTTCTCTTTTAGGAATATTTTAATAGCGTATTCTGTGATTGTTACTTTTTAATTGCAGCATATCTGACAAGACTTGTTATACTTTGGCTAGCTCACAAGCCTTAGTGGTTTATTATTCCTATCTATACTATGGAAGCAGGTCTTAACAAAACAACAAATCAGTACTAATTTATCAAAATGTCACTACTGAAACTTTGTCCTAATGTTTATCGGAATTTAACATGACCACTATCAAGAACAATAGCATTTATGGTTAGGAAAACCATTAAAATTTCAATGAAACTAAAGTACATAATGGCTAGAAATATGTTTCATCGCTAGCAATGCATACTGATTGAAATGTAAAGCTAAAGTATAAATTATCTAATATATTCTGCTATACAATATAATCTATTAAAAGTACAAGGCAAAAATTGGAGTATTGGCTGTTAGACAAGGTTGTCACTTACAGAAGTGTTATACTAAGGCAAAACTCCTACCCCTATTTCAATTTTTATAGTATTTTAGTAATTTATTAGTCTTATTTTGGGTCCATTCTGCAGATTATGCAAAACAAACCAAGATCTGATACTGAAGCCTAATTCAGATGTTATAAACTTAGGCCAATAGAGTGACCTGGAATTAACCTTTAAAAATGCAATGACCTTCTTTTAATTCTAACTCAATATTCTCAGAATCAATGCTAGTATCGTGGTGTCTGAAATCATATATTTTAATCACTTCCAGACTTGGAAAACCTGAAAATTAAAGGTAGTCATACTTTGTAAACCAGGATACGAAATCAAAATCTGATTATGGCCTGGGACATGCTGCCAATAAATTACAGCCTAAGATCGCGCACTCTCCACTGAATTAGACTTGCAACTAGATGTCAAACAAATTTACCAGAATATATATTTCCAAATAGTTTACCATCTTCATCTTTTACCAAATGGGAAATTGAAATGTTTTTCATGATTAAACCAAATTCCCTATCTATATTACTGGTTCACCGACAAATGCGCGCCGACAAAACCGCATCAACAAACAACATAGTGGGACGCAAAAACGTTATAACCCTAACCCTAATCGCGGTTTTGTGGGTGTGGTTTTGTCGGCGCGCATTTGTCGGGTCACGATATTACTTTCCTCAAATCCCAGATTCTAAAATTTGTGGAATTCATGCAGGTAAAATTCCTAGGAATATGCATAAGTGTTGAGTACTCACTTGTTTATCTCAATACCAAGAGGATTAGCGGGCCGTAAAGACAAAGGGGGCATCCCTTTGTTCCTGTCTGTGCGCATGTCATAGTAGTTGATTTCATCCACCCAGATAGCAGACTGATCTAGGATACCTAGATAAAACAAGCACACATTGGCATAACAATAAACTTTGCCCAGTCTCGTGAGGTTCTGAATTGCTGAAATACTTTTTTTTAAAAAAAAATATTGAATCTAAAATGTATTTCTATATATAATGGCTTGGGGGGGAAAAGAGGAAGAACCTAATCTGGATGCAATCTTATAGAGTTGTTAATGGATTTCATTTAAAAAAAAAATAGTTCTTTCACATTCATTGTTCTATTTTATTTTTGTTCCAAAGGTGCTTTTTCAAAAGGCAACTGGACTTTTGCCAAGTCCAGCTGCCTTTTGGAAAAGCACTTTTGGGACCACCATGATCTGAATGACTAAGAATCTCCACTGATATTTAATTTGGTGGGGGGGTGGGAGGTTGCCACTAAAACGCAAATGTAAAAGGAAAAAAGTTAACTCACAGGTACAAAAGCTGCATGTTTTCTCCTTTTCCCACTGTTCAATATCACAAATTGAAACAAATAGTACAAGATAGGATAACAAATAGGATATAGGAGTAAACATACAATTAAGCTGTGCTATCATAGCATTGTTATTTGGAACTCTCATCAATTTATCAAAATTGATTCTTCATGAATCTGGGGATTATGATATTAGCCTGAGAACAGGCAGGCCCCCAATCTCCTGGCTTCTCAAAGATACCTTAATGAAATCATGATCAATAACTAAGAAAAAACTTTATATTGAATATAAGCCTTTTTCTCAGAGAAGAGTTCAAACTATGTGGTAAAGAGCTGTTGCCCCCATCTTGAATGGTATGACTGTTGTGTGTTTTTAAATTATGTATTGTTATGTATTGTTTTTATTTTTTATTTTTTGTCTGTATCCCCCCCCCACTTTCCCTGATTTGATTTGTTAGCCGCCCTGAGTCCCCTTCGGGGGAAAAGGGCAGCATATAAATATAATAAATGATAATGATGAATGATAATGATGAAAAAGTAATACTTTACACAATCTTGAGTTTAATTCCAATATATTCATTCGGGGAACTTCAAACAGGAAACCTGCAAAGGCTTACTCCCCCAAACTGCTTATTTAATATCCTATGATTATCACTAAGGGTTGTATCTTATGATTTATGATAAATGCATTTTTATGATGACTATGATAATGATTTATCACTTACAACTTTTATGTACATTGAAAGCTTATGCACCAATGACAAATTCCTTGCATGTCCAATCACACTTGGCCAATAAAGAATTATGGTTCCACCACAAAACCGCGGTAGAATAAAGCGCCCTCGACGAAAGCGCGTACCTGACGTCATCAGCAGCGCGACGAAAAAAATTAAAAAATAATTAAAATTAAAATTAAAATT